GAAAAACAAAAGGGAAATACAGGAAAAGCCAAGCCAGACCAGGGGTGGACCAGGGTGGTGGGCTAGCAAAATGGCAAAAAAAAAGAAGAAAAAGGTGCCCAGGAGTTGAGTTCAAACTTGGTTGATTCCTCTCAATGCTCAGCTTGCTTCAAAACATGGCAAGCAGGCAGGGATGGCGGCTGTAGGCTGAACCATCACTGATCATCCCCGCCCATGAACGCAAGGCAGTGACTGTGAGGCATCAGCAATGCAAGTGCCCGACGCGGCATATTTTAGAGGATTAAGCGGAAATGATGTCGTGCACCCCACATGCCCTTTAGGGGGCTATGGTGACCCTATCTTTTCAAAGGCAACATCTGGCTCATGAATCCCTGCATTGACACCAGACCCTGTCCTTGTTGTCCTCAATGAACCGTGCTAGCCAGCCAAGCTGTGTATCTCGATCCGCTGCGAGGGGCAGCAAGAAGCCCTCTATTGGGCAAAGCGCCGACTCACACATTGCGTCCTGCAAGGCTGCGACAACTGACTACCAAGAGTTGGATTGCGGCGCCATTCGGGGAAACAATGATCTGCATGGTAGATCGTACTTTGACGTCTGATTGGTGTTGCAAGCTCATCAGCGGCTCAAACTGGCCGGAAGCGTCACCCTCTCTAAAGAAACGAGAAACAGCCAATTTGGTGGCTACTGCAACCGAAACAAAGTCATCCATCTGGCCGGCTGCTTCGTGCTGGTCGCTGCATAGGCCTTTCACTCATTTGGACATGGCTTGGTCGGAATTCTTGCTGAGAGATACTCATGTCCTTCCCTGCTGGCATTCGCCATGCTGCAATAGGGGAAAAGCTTGTGGCCACTCCTGGGGCCCTGTTCACCCGCAATTCATGGCTTGTGGCTTCTCTTGACTTCAACCCCAAGTATTCCGTCCAAAATGCCAAGAGGGCTTCCTGAAAGTCGGCCGGCGTATTTGGCCAAATCATTGTTCAAGCCGAGGCCACGTCTCCACAAAGGATTCGACCCTTGACATACCGCCTCAGCAGAACCTAGTGGGCGGCCAAGAAAAAAGCACGGCCCACCGAGTTCACCAACCGAATTGAAAACAGCCGACCACCGCGCAGGTCCTGCAGGCTGTGCCGCACGTCCGCCTCTGCCTTGAAGGTGGGCGAGAGCTCTGCGCTGCGCTGTGCAGGGATCTGGTCGTGGATCAGCGCCTGTGCCGCGCCGGCGCAAAGAACCCACCATGTAGCAACGGGCCTGCTTGTGGATAGGGCACTTATCCTCTGTTCAGAATGACGAGGGCTGTGTCTCACTCAGAATTCTGCGAATGTGGGTTGGCAATGCTGCCAGGCAGGAAAGGAAAGCAAGGAAAGCAAGCTCCCTGCGCGGAGGCGAAAGGAACGAAAACGGCGGCTTGCAGTGGCACGATTACTGCCATGCGGGGCAGAACGGCTACCCAGGCACAAGCATGTGTTCATCATGTCTTCTCGTATCTGATCGTGCTTTTTGCCTGCTGCCTCCTCACCAACCACCAGCCACCTGAGCTCTCGCGCAGCCAGCAGGCCCCCCCCCCCACCCCACCGCCAGGGCCTTGGTGCGGGTCTTGCGCGCCAAGTGGTGGGCCTCGTCGATGATCTTCGCGCCGAAACTCTGCCCCAAGAGCCGCTTGGCGCTGCGGAACGTGCAAAGCACCACCTGCGGGGCCCGGCGTGGAGCGACCCATGGCTCCACACGCCAAAGGGCCGGAAAGCGCCGGGTGTTGGCAACCGTCCATTTGCCGTTTGATTTTTGTTGGCATGATCTCATCATCTCTTTTATGGTCACTCGTGAGCAACTTTTGAAACCCACGGCGTTGCCTTTCGCTTGGGTATTGTTCGGAGTGACTGTTGCAAAGGAGGGAATTCCTTTGAATTGCCCCTCGTACCTGGTATGACCATGGTTAAGCCGTGGAAGCAACTCAGAAGGATGCGCAGCTGCACTGACACCACCAACAAGTATCTGGGTGTGAATTTTCATTGTAGCCCTGTGGGCATCCTTCACATTGAGCTTTCTGTCCACCAATCACATCTCAAGGTGCTCCCTTCTTCACAGCACTGTCGTGCCGTGGCTTTTTGGGCTGCGCCTGGTCGGTGGCCCGCAGCGCGGTGTCGTGCGCCAGCACCGCGCTTTCAATTTCCCGCTCTGCCAGCTGCTCTTGAAGCCGACGCGCGCCCTGGACCAAGGGCAGAGGACAGTGGGATGGTCCCACTCAAAACCTTCGTTTGGTTGGTGGTCAGTGGCCGGCTCCCAACGACAAAAAACACGTCCTGATTCAGGTTCTGATATGTTCTGATTCTGGGGTCAGCACGTCCTTGCGCAGCAGTGCTGGGTTGAGGCATGCATGCTGCAACTAAAAAACGCAACACTGCGTCGGGTGAATATCTGACGTTTTGCCGGCCGGGATGGAGCAGCTGGTGCATGACGGGGGGCAGAAGATGGCGGCACTGGAGACGGTGCGGTGGCCCCAACCACGAGCAGCTGGCACTGCCACGCATTTGCGGTTGGGGGTGGGCTTTTTGGGGGATCCCAGGATTGGACAAGAACATCAATCCATGCCTATCATGGCAAACCTGCACGCAAAGACAGTTCGCTTTCTGCCCCTCTCCGCCCTCCGATCCCTTTTTCAACGGCGCCTGGATCCACGGCACGAAGACCACACACCTGCGTAGCTATGGCCCCATGACCAAATAGAAACAGCTCTTGGGTTGCTCAGTGGCAGGGGGAAAAACCATTTCCCACAAAAAAACGGCCACAAAAAGGAACCTTCACCAACACGTTGATCCCACACGGCCAAGCCGCCTCCGCGCCGGCTCCATCCGCAGACTCCTCCTCAGCCACCGTGCCAGGAGATCCGCCTTTGCAGCGGCGGTCACCTGCGAAGCCGGGGGTCTCCTTATGGCAAAGGCAATTTACAGTCGAAGAAGGGGAAAACAGCAGTGAGGGTCCCAGCAATGATTGTCGAAATTGCCCAACAGATGGGCATCTGCTTCCCCAGAGGGTCCCTTGCACCAGCGCTGAGGGTGTAAAAGCAACTGTTTGCCATGGCTCACTACAAGCTGCAGTGCGCGCCGCTGGCTCTAGCCTACAAGTAGATATGATATAGGCCCAATCATCACTGGTCTATCGCAGGGAAATTGCCCCAATAGGAAACAAATGCAGCGCATCGCCTGTCTGCCCAGACTCGTCACAAAGAGTGTCACACAACACGGAAGGACTGATAATCTGATAGAACCGGATCGTCAAGGCGTTTGACGATTCCTAGCCTGAATGATGAAATGGCTGACGAATCCGAGAATTATCCTTGTCGAAAGGTATGTTGGGCAGTTGCAGTCCTGCACAACCATACTTGCCGTGGTCCAAAAACTTCCGCGGCCTAGCAACTCTTCAAGAGGCTGTTTCCCACGGCACGGCGGATGCTGTGCTGAACGTTATTTCATGTCGGGGATCATGTTTGTCCCTTCTGAGCACATGTAGCTCGCAGGGCTTACCTCGGACGTTCCAGAGATGAAAGTTCACTTTGCGCCAAAAAGCCGTGGGTTCCCTTGCGCCCTATGGGGCATGATGTTGCGTCATGTTACGCGTGAGCTGAAGCCTGTCTCCGCCCCCTCCATGGCCTGGACGCGCAGCGGTCGAGCTGGCCTGGGGCTGAAGAACCTCAGGCAGCCATAGCTCCGATGCCAGCGTGGAGCGATGCCGCTTCCACAAGTGGTTCAAGGAATTGGCCGCATCTCCGAGGGGCAGTCCGCTGTTCCCACGGGCACCGTTATGAGGGCGGAAATCCACGGAAAGACGTGACCCAAACTTACAGACAGATCTGCACCTGGTTTGGCTATCTCCTCTTCCTTTTTCAAACTGACGACACTCGGCGATTCACTCACTGCCAACTCGCTCAGGTTGCCGAAGCCAAGTGGTGACATGCGTGGTGTGGACTGGCTCCATCTTCTTTTTTTGGGGGGGGGGTATGCGTCATCCAAGAATTAGCGGTCCACGGCCCGCGGCCCACGTTTGTACAATTGACAATTTCAGAAAAACGAAGTCTCTGCCTGTCGCAGGGACCTACTACATGTACCTAGATGTGCGGATCGTGGTGTCCGAAAAGCTTCAACGCGGCTTCTGCCGCGCGGCAGGGTCTCTGCCTGCTGCTGGAAGCCCGAGATCGGCCTTGCGAAGTGCTGCACGCTCTCTGGCCGGCCGATGCGGCTGGGCGCCGCTGAGTCCTCGTCATATTCGCGGGGCCGATGAGGCGGGAACACGTATGGCACCGCAGGCAATGCGGCGCCAAAGAACAAATTTAGACTCTAGCAGCCATGCCCGCCAGCCAATGAACAAGACCTGGAAAACGGAGAAGCCGCTCAGAAAGGCCTCAACATCGGCACCTCCACCAGAAAGGTCCCCTTTTGACAAGTCTACAAAAAAAAGAAAAAGGAAAACAAAGGCCCACTCACGAGGGCCCGTTTTAGGCATATCCCGCAACCGGCCGGATCCGCTGCGCTCTCCTGCCAGCGCCGCGCCAGGGGCGCGGGAGTCCAGCAAAGGCCCGGCGCGAGGAGCAGCGGCCAGAACCGCCGCCGCGTTCGCCCCGGCGCCATGGAAGGCCCGTCCGTTTGGGCAGAAGCTGCGAGGAAACCACTGGGAACTTCTCTCCAAAAAGGTGGCCCCCCCCGAATGTGGCTGAATTCCTGTTGGCTTCCCTTTGAACAATTGCCACCCAAAAGGGGTCGCAAGCCGATTTCTGGAAACACTCCTCATTTTCGATGGTCGATTTGTGAGGAAGGCAACAAGTGCCAATGGAACATGTTTCAAAGGGAGGGCGGGATATAGGAAACCAACCATTTTGGAGGAACTCCGCATGTGAAGACAAATCTGCAAAGAAAAGATCGAGTCTTCTCTATTTGGAGGGTTGTTGCTCTCAAGAACAGTGGGGATGAACGATTTCAAGCCATCATCTCTGCTTGTGACCCCGCCGCGCCTTCCAGCTCCTGATCTGCATGGACGGTGTGGACCTGCACTGGTGAAGAATGGGTAGCCGCTGGAGAATGCGCTTCCGTCAAAAATTGAGAGCCGTGAACTCCCATTGCTTGGCCTTGATGAATTTTGCATGACACCGGCGGTTTGTAAAAATCACCCCGGGTCCCACCTTGGCCTCGTCCCTTATCTTGAAAGCACGTGCACATCAAGCCCCGGCACCCACCCGTGGAGCCCGCAGGCCAAGGCACGCCCACACGATTAATGGGCTCCGAAGGATCCACGCGGAGGTTGTGGAAGTTGGAGTGGTGAAGCGGCAGCCAATGCACCGCCACCTTTGGAAGCAACCCTCGAAAGTCCAAGGGGAGCCTCACAGCAATTGAGCTGTTGGCAAGTTGGGGCGGGCCTAGCACCTAGACCTGGCACAAGCAAAAACTCACCCGCCCAACTGCCAGCAGCCCTCTGCCACACAGGGGTTCCGGGCGTGACGCAGCTGCCGCAGGGGCGGGTGCTCCTCCAAGTCGCTCTTAGCCAAGGCGGTCTGCACCAGGACCTCAACACAAGGCGGTCACTAGGTGGGAGTGGGGGAATCCCACGTCGAAATGCCCTTCCACAAATGAAGGCCGTCTGTCCCACCGTCCTTCGGGCGCCAAAGCTGCGGGCAGTTCCGCTTTAGTGGCTCGCCCGGATGGGCTGATTCTTGGCAGCTGCCTAGTTGAGACCAAACCGAATTTGTGCCATTCATCTATTTGAGATCAAAGCGCCGCGTTGGCATTTGCTTTTCATAACTATTTTCCCCCGGCCGCGGCGATCTCCTGGACGACGCACCCACGTTAAGACCACTTGCTGTGCGAAATTGCGCTCGGTGCCCGGCGGCGTCGATCAGCGTCGCGTTGTTCGGCATCCCAAAGATGTCCTGCGCAATCACAGCTTGGCCCGGGGGAAAAAAACAAAAAAAAAAACATGGGATGCACAAAGTCCGGGGAAGGGCTCCAACGTGTCAGAGGGATCCTTGGTTTTGGTAAAGGTCAATGAGCTTCAGAAGTCAAAAGTCATAGGGTGCAAGAAACACAGGCTCATAGCATTCAACCTATCTGCTGACTCAGCCGCATCTGTGCTAGATGCAGTTGGCTTTTTGCCGCCTTCACAGTCATGCATGTGGCCCCCTAGCGCCTGCGCATGTTCGGATGACTGATGGTGGCCGGAGGTGTTAGCTGCCCTCGGGCCCAACATGCTAAGCCCAGCCAAAGATGTATAAAGAACCTCAAATGAATGCACCCTAGCTCCAGGAGTAGGAGTGCAGTCCCCAAAAGCTCAACAAACAAAAGCCGACAGAACAGAATGCTTCTTGATGCTTCTTGATGCTTCTTGATTTGCTGGCCGCTAACCAGCGGTCTCACACGGTCCCTTTTTTGCGATGATGACTGCACACAAAGTCACTGCAACGTGTCACTGCTTGGATTCCGAGTAATATTGGCGGGGTTCTGTGCCATGGTCTTAACAGCGCGGAACAAACCACAAACCGCGACAATGACATGACCACTCACACCCCCGGAAGCGTCCACAGGATCATAGATGTGCGCCGCCCGCGGCCAGCCCAGGGCTGCGCACAGACATAAGTACTTCACCTTGGCAAACTGCCGAGCTCATGCAGCGGAAAAAAACAGCAAGGAAAGCCATAAACATGATCCACCGGCACATTCAGGACTCTAAATGAACAAGCTGGCTGCTGCTTGCCAACCTGCTTGCTTGGACACGCTTTCTTCTTCGTAGAAATTGGCACTCACCTGCTCGTTTGCCAGCCCAAGCAAGAATTCAAGAAGCAACGTCTCTTGCTCTACGCGGAGCTGCAAAGGCGCCACCAGGAGCAGCTACACGAGCAAGGCGCCGCCGGCAAACTACGCAGTACGTGTAATTTCTACTTTGCCTCAACCCAGCTATTGCAAATCCATGGCCCTTGGACATACTGCAACTGGCACAGAACTCATCACAGGTGAAGCATCGGAAATCAAGGCTCCTTGTGTTCAGCGCCAATTTTGGGACTGTAGCTCTGCCGCTCTGTTCATGGTAAAGGCTAGAATTCCAAAAGCCACGCCACTACTTTGATGTGAAGCCAGGACTCATTCAAGCCTTCCTGCTGCTTCCTTTGGCCGCAGCCAGACAAAGCATAGGCACAATGGAAAGGCACCCGGGCGCAAACGCATTTATGTAACCGTACCTTACGCACAATGATACGCCTATCTGCCTGCTCGACTGGCGGGCGTATGCCGAGGAACGCGTTGATTGCGCACGGTTACTTCGCGCTCCAAATCTCCAAGCCGCCTGGAACAGAAGCGAACAAATTTGAATCATCAGCTGACATTGGTGACATTCGTGGTCCTGAAGCCCGCCCGTCTTGTGTAAAGTAAAGTTCCTCGTTGCTGCTCAGCAAGGCTCAAGAAACAATTATGGGCCAAGGCATCTGCGCACACAGCAAGGGACAAAGGAGCACGTGACCAGTCAGTTCAAAAACAGCTCCGGCTATACCGTCACAATGGCCATCCGATATTCGATGAACAAACACAGGATCCTATATCACAACCTGAACGCACTCTTCCATCTGGTTAAGATTAAGATCAATCGACATTTAGTTGCTCGAAATACAAGGTTAACCTTTTGGAAGCTTGACTAAATGTGGACTAGTCAGGGCAACCAAAAGGTCAAAAGGTAGTTTTTGGACAACTGAGTATAGTAACATGGCCGGAAGCAACACCTCCACCCTACCACCGAACTGCCTCTTTTATTCTGCTGCAAAGCCGCGTGCACGAAGCTGGTGGGAACCCAGCCGTCGGGCTCTCGCCGGCACCACGCCTGGAGGCTGGCCGTCAACCCCACACACACCTGCATTACGCAAGTTTGCAGCGCATTGGCATTCTTCGGGGCTAGGATTCGCACAGGTCGAACTTCCATCCTTTTCTAAACCCTGGGCACCTTAAAACAAGACATAGACAAATGCATGGGGCTTTGCTGACTCCAAACAAATCGGGCCATGCCATCCTTTTCTAAACCCTGGGCACCTTAAAACAAGACATAGACAAATGTATGGGGCTTTGCTGACTCCAAAAAAATCGGGCCATGCCAGGACTAGCTGCCCACTGCTTTTTGCCCTGCCATCTAGAAACCTCAAAAGATCTCAAAAGACACAAACGCCCAGACCATATCCGAAGTTGCTGGCGCAAACCAAAAAGAAAAAGAGAGAAAAAAGGCAAGCTTCTTGCGCTTCATGCCTTCTCAAGATCTACAACAACAATCAAAACACATGCGACACGTCCCATGGGAGAAATGCGTGCCAAGACCTTCTCCAAGCTCCGCGCGCGCCCTTCTTCCTGCGCCTCGCAGGGGGAGTTCCAGGCGCGAGCATCCACGCCCTGCTGGCGGAAGCCCCTGGAGCCGAGCCAGCCGAGCCCCGCACGCCGAAGCCAAGGACAAAGCGAGGGGAGCCCCTTGGATTGGAACCACATGAGCCCCTACAGCAGCAAACAGAATTATGCGGGAAGTGGGATCCGCACGTTCGAATCCCCAAGTACCTCGGCGCTCGGACAAAGCCAACCTACGAATCAAAGCACTTGCATCAAGCCTGGATTCCATATGGAGAAGCGCGCAGAAAGTGGTGCCCGGCTGGATGCGGATACAAAGCTGTCCCTCCAGCTGAAACCTCGATACGCCTCGTTTGGGTCCTCCCAATCTCCCCGGCCCGTCCTGGCGACTTGCCGTCCCCTCACTGTGAAGGAGCCCCACCTGGGCGGCGACGCCCCTCTTCTGCCAGTCTGGCGAGGGGAAAGAATGCCGGAGTTCGTCTGCTTGCTCGCGGGAGGACAGTTGAGAGGAAGACCCCTTCAACTGCAAACGCGGCTGGTAGAGCGATTGATGTGGGGGTGAAAAAGTGGGGACTGGGCAAGAGCGGGGGAGCCTTCCCCTGTCCCTGCTTCGTTCTTGAGCTGAAGAAAGTGGTTGAGGCCGATGGATCTGAGCGGTCGCTTCGCGTTTTGATTGGCTTCTTGGACCGCCTGGCTTGCTTCAAACTTGGACGGAGCTGGCACCTTGGGTTGGCATGGCCGGCTGGTCTGATCGTGTCTGGCCGCCCTCCGCTTCCCATGGACCTGTTGCGCTATGGGCACTGCGTTTCAGCCATATCCATCTTGGTCAGCATTCCCCAAGCTGGTGCCCAATGCCCCTGCAATGCCCCTGCAATGTTCTGCATGTGAGCCCCATGTTGCCAGAGGGACCGAGATCAATCTGAACAGCTCAATCACCAGGATGTGATCCCCACTTGCTCTGAAATTGCAGCTGGCTCAGCTGACCATGTTCAAGGGAGGCTTGATCACCCCTCCCTTCTGTTCAACTGAAGGAGGCCCTAAATGGTTGGCCAAGCCGCTGGTAGGTGGTGTCGCCGCCCCCGAGGAAGAGCACCCGCCGCGCAGCTTTGGCCGGGATCGCCGCAGGCCGCGAGGGCGAACTGAGTGGTGCTGCGCATGGGGCGGGGTGTCTCGCCCCAAGGTGGGCGAGCAGAGTCAAGGGGCCCTGCAAAAGAAGTCCTTCGCATGCAAACTGCTGGAAATCAACGACCAAAGAACATTCGGTTGAAACGCAGCCCAGACATGTCTCAGCGCGCAAAAGACAACAAAGAGTGCGCCAAGGTCAGCCCAAATATTTCTGCGAACCCACCGTCCAGACCATGCCCTCTCTCAGCCGACGCCTTGCCTCATAGCTGGGCGAGGCCAAACGGCCGCCAGCTGCTCTAAAATCTCGGTGATGCGAAAGCGGGTGGTGAGCAGATCGTAGAAGAACCTCGTCGCGGACCGTCTCTCTCAGGAAGCCCGAGCCGAATCAAGCGGGTTCTTTTCTGCTTGGTAAGCTGTCTCTATTACAAAGGCTCAACCAACCAACCAACCAACCAACCAACCAACCAACCAACCAACCAACCAAATCAATCAATCAATCAATCAATCAATCAATCAATCAATCAATCAATCAATCAATCAATCAATCAATCAATCAAATCAATCAAACAATCAAACAATCAAACAATCAAACAATCAAAACAATCAAATCAATCAAATCAAATCAATCAATCAATCAATCAATCAATCAATCAATCAATCAAATCAAAACAAAACAAATCAAATCAATTCAAATCAATTCAGTTCAATTCAATTCAATTCAAATCAATTCAATTCAATTAAATTCAAATCAATTAAATTAAATTAAATTCAAATCAAATCAAATCAATTCAATTCAATTCAATTCAAATCAAATCAATCAATCAATCAATCAATCAATCAAATCAAATCAATTAAATGAATCAATCAAATCAAATCAATCAAATCAATCAATCAATCAAATCAAATCAATCAAAACAAATCAAATCAAATCAATTCAAATCAATTCAGTTCAATTCAATTCAATTCAAATCAATTCAATTCAAATCAATTCAATTCAAATCAGTTAAATTCAAATCAATTAAATTCAATTCAAATCAACTCAATTCAAATCAAATCATTTCAAATCAATCAATCAATCAATCAATCAATCAATCAATCAACCAACCAACCAACCAACCAACCAATCAATCAAATCAATCAATCAATCAATCAATCAATCAATCAATCAATCAATCAATCAATCAATCAATCAATCAATCAATCAAATCAATCAATCAATCAAATCAATCAATCAATCAATCCATCCATCAATCAATCAATCAATCAATCAAATCAATCAAATCAAAACAAATCAAATCAATTCAAATCAATTCAGTTCAATTCAATTCAATTCAAATCAATTCAATTCAAATCAAATAAATTCAAATCAATTAAATTCAATTAAATTCAATTCAATTCAAATCAATTCAATTCAAATCAAATCAAATCAAATCAAATCAAATCAATCAATCAATCAATCAATCAATCAATCAATCAATCAAATCAAATCAAATCAAATCAAATCAATCAATCAATCAATTCAAATCAAATCAAATCAATTCAATTCAGTTCAGTTCAATTCAACTCAAATCAACCAACCAATCAACCAATCAACCAACCAACCAAGCAAGCAATCCAATCAATCAATCCATCCATCCAATCCAATCCAATCCAATCCAATCCAATCCAATCAATCCATCAAACCATCAATCCATCCATCCATCAATCAATCAACAGGTTTTTCAACGTAGGTTCCAACGAAACAAGCTTCTCGCAGATGGAGACTCCAACTCCAAATCAACCCAAACAAATGACGTCCAGTAACCGCCACTACGCCATACTGCGCCAAACATACATTTGAGCACACATCGTGCGCCGTGGCTGTGGCTGCTGGAAGCTGACTAGCTGACAAGCCCCCGAACGATCGCAAGCCCCTGAACAACTGTGTGCAATGCGCCGGAATCTGTCATCTGTTTTCCACCCCAGCCAAAGGATAGCTTTGCCTACATCATGAATTGAAATGCCTGGAAATTAAGTAGAGGCAAAGGCCAAAGGACACGCTGGCAAAACAGGCACCTGCTAGCCTCTGGTAAATTATCTTAAACATCCCGAGGGCACAGGCCGTCCCTGGTGGCATATGTCCGAGATGGCTCAAAGCAAGATGCGAACCATCGCTGTCGAATGCACGAGTGAGAAGTTTTACTGGGGGTATCTCGTGTGGAGGCCCGAGTGACACGTGTTCTCCCGAGTTGGTGAAACCGCAGCTCCCACCAATCAAACCCAGTTCAGCTCATGGCTCATGGGTCAGTGAGCTCTTGACATCGACAGACCTTGCCTCGAACAGGAATCTTCCATTTGCCGCTCACTTCAGTGTACCCCAATCAAGTCAAGGTCTGGTTGGATCGGGTGACTGCGGCGTTCGCTCCTCCCAGAGTTTCGCCATTTGCTGGGCGTTGCCAGAGACCAGGACCTGGCCGGCATGAAGACATGAGGCGCAAGCACGAAGCTAAGCGGATCGCTGGGTCCAATGCTAAGCTAAGCGGACCGCGTGGGCGCGTGTGGAAGGCTCAGCTATTGTCAAAGAACACCTCGCCATCAAGACTGGCATGGCGTCTCTCTTAGGGCTCTTGCACTGCTTGGCAACCTGTCAAAACATCCCGGGTATGCCTCGAGCCTTTCCTGCGATCCCTTTTGCAACGATGAAAACCGCATTTCAAGAATGGCGCTGAAGGGGAGGATCAGCCAAAACAAACAAGCTGGAACCAAGCAGTGAAGCAAGCATATATGTCTCTTGCCATTGGTGGGTCTAGAATTGCAGCTGGAACGACGCAGAGTCAGAACTACACCCCTTCCCACACAGACCCAGACCCTCCTGTCATTGTCATCCCTTTGGGGGATCATCGGAATCAGCGGGAAGGTCTTCTGTGGTGAATCACGATCTCTGTGCCATGTACATGTGTCAACTGCTCTGACATGCGCATTGCTTACTGTTGCTCGCGCATGCTCGCGCCTCTGGGGGTCTGCGCCCCACAGGGCCGTCGGGAAAGCCCTCCAACTGATTGGCCTGGACAAGGCAGTCGCGTGGGGCTTTGGGCTCAGTCAGGATCCGGAAAGTCAGCATCAGAATCAACAAAGTAGTCCCCACATAGGCCAAACTGGCAATCGGACACAACTCTGGCCACTCAAACCCGCTGTCGGCAGGTGAAGGCATGCAAATGTTCAAGTTTGTTGGCTCCGCCCGTCGGTTGGAGTGAATGCCAAAAAGCCAAAGGCAAGAAAATGCTGCACCACCTGGCATTTGGGTGACAGGATTGTAGGTATCTAGCACCACCAGCCAGATGTTCTGGGCCCAGAAACATCTAGGCCCTCCAGTAGAGAGGTTAGAATAAGGGTACCCTTTTTCTGTAGTCTATTTTAGTAGGGGAACTCTGCCCCAAAAAAGAAACGGTAACAGGGCACCTAGCTGGGGGACCTAAACATTCAATCTTTCAGCTTACGTGCCTTCAGGGCCCAGAGCGCCACAGAAAGCAACGCCTCAGCCGGAGCCGAGGGCTGTGGCCAAAAGACCACCTGTCTTCTCGGTTGGCGTTCCCTTCAGCGCCTCAAGATGAAAGGACTGGAATCGATTTGTGGTTTCTAACACTGTTTCCAGGCTGCCGAGTATGTTGGCCTGATGGGTCTTCGAGTTTGCGAATTCTTCATGACCATCTTGTGGCAGAGTCCCCTCCGTTCCTCACATGCTGCAAGTAACCAATGATGGAGGCACTCACCTTTACGTCCCAAACTGCAGCACCCAGCTGCTACCAACCCTGTTTGCTGCAGTCTATTTTAGTAGGGGAACCCTCCCCCAAAACAGAAACGGTAAAAGGTCACTACTAGGGGACCTAGAAGCCTTTGCCCCAGGCGCTCGGCATTCCAAAACCAAGGCGCCGCCAGCACCCCGAAGCTGCAGCGCTGCGGCTCCAGCAGCGGCTGCGCCGCTTGCAGCGCCAGAAACTCCTCCCGAAGGGTAGCGCTAACCAGCCAAGACAAATGCCGCCAGCAACTGGCCTCATTTTGTTACCATGATCAAAGTCACCCCGTAGGTGGTGGGTTAAAGGGAAACACCCCCCATATTGTGCCAGAAAACGTCAAAATAATGACCCCGCAAGGTTAGAAGGTTGGGCGCGACAGTCGAAAAAACAAATGAAACCCTGAGGCATGGGGCCCCTGCAACGGCCTCAGCAACCGCTGTCACCAAAGAACCCGCGCCACTGCCAGGCCAAGTGCACGTTGACTCAATGCTCATCAAAACCATTTGAAACAAGCGCTGCTTTGAAAGTTTTGGCAGCCCGCAGCCCCGTTGAGCCAATCATGCCGCCTACAGTGTGCAACCGCTGTCCTCTGCAATATGCAATGGTATCCTGCCAAGCGCTGTGGTCTACCAAAGGTCGACTTAACAAATAAAATTAATAAAGAAGGTGGAAAGAGTTTACAAATCACAAATCGGCGAGTTTGCGCAATTCATTGACAGGTGCAACCAACTCAATATTGCCGTGGCCTGAAACTCGGAAAGGGACACGGGCCCCTAACGCTTTTACCATCAAACTACTTGTCTAAAGGGGTACTGCAAAATGGGAGCCCCTGCAAACCATCGCAAAATACAGCCAGGCTGCCTTGAGCTTGATTCCTATGGGCTCTTGAGAGGAAAGAGGGGCCGCGAAGGAGGAACAGGGAGCAAAAGAAGAATGGAGAGCAGCGGCGGAGAAACAGAAATTGAAAAAATGAGAAAGAAGATCCGAAAGAAAACGAGCTGAATGAAGAGCAAAGAAAACAACGATAGAAGACGCAAGAAAAAAGGGGCGCAAAGAACATGATGGGGGAGCGGATGGAAATCAACAACCCGAGCGCTTCATTGCTAAGAACCACAAGAAAATCAATCTTCGTCACTTCACGGCCATGTGGTTTCAAAGATGAGTCTGGCCAGGCTCTGCCTCACAAAACAGCAAAAAATCACGCTGTGCCCAAGCAGTTCGCCAATACAATGTCTAATCCGCCGACCCCCCTGCCTGCAAGGGGAAGGCGCTGGGGGAGTGTTCGTTTAGCGTTGGAGCGTGACTGTGGCAGCCTTCTCCCTTCCCTTTCGCCCTCGCCCGTTCAGCCCTGTACCTTACCAGCCTTCTTTCTTTCCCTTTTTTCTTGTTCTTCTTCGTTTCTTTTCTTTCCTTTTCCTTTCTGCTGCCGGCGCACTCCTTTGGTTGGTGCTCGCTGTGGACAAACGAGTGCGGCCTGGAAAAGGCCGAAACGAAGCTTTTGTGGCTGGCCGCTCCCTCTGGACCGATAGCCTTGCTGCATATTGGACTCAAACGCGACGTTAGGCGCCCGGCCGCGGCGGAGCAGGCTGCCGGCGCACTCCTTTGGTTCGTGCTCGCTGCGGCGAAGCGAGTGCGGCCTCCAAGCGCGCTGGACGCGAAGCTGTTCTTGCTGGTTGCGCCCTGGGGACCGATAGCTTTCTACTTTCTATATAGGAATCAAAAGTGACGTTCGGCACCCGGCCGCGGCGGGGCAGCCGCCCTTGGCAAGACGCACAGCAAACCCAAAGGGAGAAAGACTAGGGATAGGCAAGCTGTGACAGACGCAGGCGCACATGGGCATGGACAGGCCGGGGGTTGAGCCCGGCCCCTCTCGCACGCTGGGTGTGATGCCACTACACCAACTGCCCCTGAGCTGAGGAGGCCGAGAGTGCTCAACTACCTGCTGGGCACAGCTTTCAGCGCTGAAGCTCTGTCACGGCCAGCCCGTTTGGCCTGTTTTCTTCCTATCTGCTGCCGGCGCACTCCTTTGGTTGGTGCTCGCTGTGACGACCTGGAAAAGCGCTCAAGCACTTGCAGGGCACAGTTTTCAGCGCTGAAGCTCTGCCGGCGGACCAGGGATAGGCAAACTGTGACAGACGCAGGCGCACATGGGCATGGACAGGCCGGGGATTGAACCCGGCCCCTCTCGCATGCTGAGCGGGTGTGATGCCACTACACCAACTGCCCCTGAGCTGAGGAGGCCGAGAGTGCTCAACTACCTGCTGGGCACAGCTTTCAGCGCTGAAGCTCTGTCATGGCCAGCCCGTTCGGCCTGTTTTCTTCCTATCTGCTGCCGGCGCACTCCTTTGTTTGGTGCTCGCTGTGGGCAAACGAGTGCGGCCTGGAAAAGCGCTGAAGCACCTGCAGGGCACAGTTTTCAGCGCTGAAGCTCTGTCACGGCCCGCCCCTCCGGCCCTTTTGCTTCCTTTCTGCTGCCGGCGCACTCCTTTGGTTGGTGCTCGCTGTGCGCAAACGATGCCGGCGCACTCCTTTGGTTGGTGAAACGAGCGCGGCCTGGAAAAGCGCGGGAAGCGAAGCTTTTGTGGCTGGCCGCTCCCTCTGGACCGATAGCCTTGCTGCATACAAGCAAGCCTGAACCAGCCAAAAGCCGCCGCCAGAACAAAAAAAACCTGGGCTGGCCCCCAGTGAAGGGGTCGGCGGCACTGGGCGGCAGCCTTTAAATTAGTCCAACAGTGTGTTCAGCGCTCAATGCAAGGCAGAATCACTAACCACTACCACCACCACCACCACCACCACCACCACCACCGCAACCGCCTCCATCCCCATGTCTTTTCAACATGAATCTCGTCAATATCAGAATCATGATCCATGTCATTACTCATCAACATGAACCTCCTCCCTTCTCCTCATCAACACCACCACCATCAGCATCAGCATCATCGTATTCTTCTTCTCCATCATCATCCTTCTCCTCATCCTCATCCTCATCCTCACCCTCATCGCCGCCACCACCATCGTCGTCATGAGCAATTGTTTTCTTTGCGCGCGCCTTTTTCCTCAGCGGCTTCAACGTGTTTTAAGGGGGGATTTTAAGGGGCGCCTCCGGGCACGGGAGGTCTCTGCCGCTGTTTTTACGGAGGCCAGCTCCTCACGTGCAGGCGGGCACCCTTCACCCGACGCGGCTGCGCCCGGCAAACGGCTCCCCGCCGTCAGAAAGCACATCACTGACCAAGGGCGGCGGCCCATCGACACCTGCGGTCGAGTGGGCGGGCAAGGCCAAGAGGCTCGCAGCGTACGCCCGGCTCGTGCCCGCAGCCAAGAGGGAGGACGAGCGCCGGCAAAGGCAGCCGACACCAAGGCGGCACACTTCTCACACGCGCCCGCGCCAGAACCTCACAGGGCGAAGGAGCTCCGGGTATGCGCGCTCCTTGGCCTGTCGGGCTTGTCGCAAGGCTGCACCCTCGGCTCAGCCCTGGTGACGCCGCGGGGCGCCTGTAGAGGACAAGGCCGACACCAGCGTGGTATCCACAGCAAGTGGCATGCCACCCCACACAGGCAAGCCATTGGCGATGACTTCAATCCGCCGGTCATCTCCGGGCACGCTGCCGACATTGAGGTCCCTGACCAAAGTGTGCATAGCAACCACGGCCCCTGCTTCACGACAAATGCGCGCTGCCGCCCGTTCAAGTGGGCCGCCCCGTGCTCGCAAGACACCAGCGCGCGGACATGCAGAGCGGAGATCGCCAAGAGTGTCCTGCTCCCTTCCACACCGGCATCGCGCAGGGACGAAAGGCAAAGGCAAGCGCAGGCGTCGCAACAGCAGCGCGCGGAAATGCGCGGGCTCCAAGATCAACTCCGGGCAAACGGGGAGCATCAAGAAGACCTGGGCTGAGCACGGTCCGGACTGAGACAGCAGCATGGCTGCAGAGGCTGCATCCAAGTTGTCGCTGTGGGCACATTGTCGCCAAGGAGAACCCCTGCCGAGCGAGGCAACACGGCACATCCGGCTCCAGTTGGCGTACCTCTGCGGATCGCCAACAAGCTGTCAGCCCACGAGGCCCAAAACGCCGCAGGTGCATGCAACCGGGCTGAACGCAGCCCTATAGTCCACCATGGCGGAAGGCAAGTTGGGACTGCCGACCCGTCCTCACCAAACAGCATTGCACTGAAACATCTCTGCACTGCAGCATCGTGCTCCATGGCAAAAAGATCGGTGAGTTCTGGGGGTATGATACGAAGTGCATAGTTGGACCGCGGTACAGCAACAGCAGCCAAGCGACCTGCAGGTCAGGGAGGGTCGGGAGGACCTGCAGGAGGCGAAGTTGTTTGTTGCGCACTGCGCCCGCACAAATGCATTTCCGCCCAAAGGGGGTATAGAACGGTAATCCCTTGCTCTGCCTCGGGGAGCTGAGCATTGACACGCCACACATCTGCTGCACTTATGTAGGCCTGGCGGCTCCACTGCGGCTGCGTTCCACACACGTGCTTTTGCGTGATTAAGGGAAATGCGGGCACCACCGGGACGCAGCCTGAAACAGCGGTTGTATGCGATCAGGCTGCGCTGTCAAGAACAAGTCCCAAAAAGGCAAGAGAACGCTCCTCCGGGCGGAGCAGGGCGACAAGCGCTTGATGCATGGCGAGTGCGAACAATGCTGGCATTAGCGGTCGCCTTGCTCCTCGCCTTCTGCTTGCAACACACGGTGGCCACACATAAGTTGACGGGGACCCATACCACATGCGGATGTAAGGGAGCAACCGGCACGCACCCGGCCCGTCACGGAGTGCCTCAAGCATGGCCTGCCTACTCACGTGGTCATAGGCTCCTACGCCATCCACAGACAAGACCGTTGCAGTCGGAGAAGTCTCCGTAAGGACTTGCAAAGTGTGGACTAAAGCCTCAGCGCCGGAGCGGGTCGACAACGCATACTGGTATGGGCGACAAGCCGCATCGAAGTGATCTGCAAATTGCTGCGCCAAGGTTCGGGACACAAGCCGCCGCAAGAAGTCACCAACTACCAATCCACCGGACGGCTTTTGGACAGCGACAAGCCGACCGATCCCAAGCCAGCCGCCTACTGCGGTGGGAACATCGGCTCTGGCAAGCCGTGCTGCAACTCCAAAGAACATGGGAAGACTCGTCATCATCCAGCACTAATCGCAAGATCTCCCCGGTCAATCCACTAGGACCTGGAGCTGCTCCTTTGCGCGAGTCGGAGATTGGCAAAGAACTTGTCAGGCAGGAGCTTGGCGGGGCTGTCCGGGTTCCAAGCCAACAGATCGGGTGCAATGGGCTGATAAGCTTGGTCGGGCAAGCCCCTAGGATCGCTAAGTTGCTGCAAAGTGGCGGCGTCACCTGGCGCGAGTGGCTCAGGAGCCGACGAGAGTTCTCCTAGGCGCGCAGACCGGACCGCCTGGGCGGCGTCACCTGCTGGCACACTTGGACTGTGAGAGCGTGGAGGTGCTTCAGCAGGACCTGTCTGGTTCTCGTCCGGAAAGGACCCGGATACACTCACTAGCTGCCACTCCCTACGGAAAAAACCGTCGAAGCAAGCAAAATAGTCTCTCTTAGGCACCGGCGCGCCGCGAAACAAAAGCAGAGCCAGAGCTTCCACGCCCGTTCGCTCCCAACTCCTCCGTGGCCGTCTGCATTTTGGATGAAGTGAAGGGCAAACCGGAGAGGTTTGTGGAGAGTGCCCTTAAGACGTAGCTTGGAGACAGCGGTGCTGGTAAGAGCAGAGATGACTGCTAGCGATTCGGTGTACTGCCCTGTCGGAATCTGGGCGTCTGCACCAAGCTGAAACGCGGCCTTCACAACCTCTCGCTCCAAGGTCAACACATAGTCAGTCCTGGCCACGAGGAATCCTATCAATGCTCGCAAGAACGTCTGAGGGCCCAAAGTGCTCCCGTCACAGACGTCACGCAGCTCAGAAACGCGGCTGCTCTGTCCTCGATCACCGCAACCACCCGAAGATCGTTCGAGAAGCTAGACACGTCCGGATCTACGTCGCAGACATATTTCCACCTGTCGGCGTACTGAGCGCGCGTGGTGACACCGGCGTCGGAGGATGAGATGAAACCTGCCAAAAGATTTCCGAGCTTCCTTGGCGTGATCTTCGCAACCACAGCAAAGAACGTGTCCACGCACTTCTGACCGAAATTGCGCGGAAGCTTGACGATTGCGTTCGTCACTGGCAAGAAGGACACCTTGCTGCTCAGCTCCGGAGTCCTCCCCACCTGCCAACCGCTGAGGGTCAGCTCCTTAGAGGATGCATCTACCGAATACGTGAGCTTTGTGGCGCCAGGCATGTTGGCCGGTAAGATGCGCTTGCCCTGAGTGGTCGAGGAGGTCGCAGGCTCTCTGCGCAGGATCGCTTGAGCCAAAATGGCATCAGCATCCTCATCAGCATCAGCATCATCATCAGCAGCAGAAGCAGCATCCTCCTCATCATCATCATCATCAAATGTGCGGAAAGGCAAAGGCATGCAAATACATTCTGCCCATGCTTGCATGCCTGCATTCACGGTGGATAAAATGGGTATGTGTTTTTTTGACGTGGCCGTGCCGGGAGGTTGGTATAAGGGGTATGAATCGCAGGTATGGTTCGGGGTATGGCTCGGGGGTATGATTCGGGGTATGGCTCGCGCGCCTCTGAACTCTTGCTTTGTGGCTTTGGACACTGCAAAGCTCCCGTGCGCTGGCAACTGGATAGCCGTGAGAATTTGGACCGCTTAGTTGCTACAAGCCAGCCTGGGGCGCTTGTGAGTGGCCTGAACTAGACAGCTGCCACTCTGCGTGAGTGGGTGAGCGAAAGCTGCTGCGCTAGGTGGACGGCGCAGAGCCACTGCCTGAGGCGAACGTCATTGCCACCTCCACTTGGAGTTCAAGCGACCCGCGCGCTCACAGACCCAAGCAAGCGTTGCTTAAGAGCGCCGCTGCCCAGTCAGGCACGCCACCCGCACCAGTCACGAACCAGCGTAAGGGCAAGACAGCGTGACATCCTCAA